TGTTCGCATTTTGATTAACCACATCATCAACAATCAAAGGTACATCATCATCCCGCAACTCAAGATCTTCATCCATAACTTGCTTTTGCATTGAGCATTCACATCACCGCCTCTCCCACTTCTTGTTGTAACCGCCATCACATGATTATTATTCCCACCCTTCGGATTTACCACCGTATCACTTGGTAGCGCACCCTTGGGACGAGTATTCAATGCTTGAGAGATTTGGCCTAATTGCACTTCCAAGTTCCTGATAGATGTGTTATGCAAAGCTAGTTGGGCCTCAGAATCTTGGTTCTTTTTCATCATTTGCTCGAACATGCTTTCAATTCTCCCCATATCACTTCCGGACGAACTCGGACCTTGAGAAAGAAAGGGGAGTGGGTTGTTCGGTTTTTGGTACATGGGGGCCTTTGAAAGCTTTGCCCCCGATTACCTTGGTTCCCGCTATTGTTCCACCCTCCTTGATTGTTGTTGTTGCCCCAATTATTGTTACTACCATTCCAATTTCCTTGGTTGCTTTGATTACCCCAATTGTTGTTTTGGTTGTTATTATTCCAATTACCTCCGCCTTGTTGTTGATTGCCCCAATTTCCTTGAGGACGCCATTGTTGATTTGAAGAGTTACCTCTATTCCCTTGGTAGTTATTGACATATTGGACCTCTTCGCTTTGATCATCATAACACTCATTTGAATAACCACCACCATCATTGTTGTTGTCATATTGTTCACAATTACCTTGAGGTTGTTGTCCTCTTTGCCTCCTTTTCAACATAGAAACACCTTCCATTGCATTGACTTGGCGCGGGTTTTGGACTTGTTGAAATTGTGCCTTTGCCAATTGATTCATAGTTGTTGTAAGCTCGGTGATGGCTTGGCCATGATCGTGCAATTACTTATGAAAATGGATGACCGTGGGGTCACCTTGGGGCACATTTGCTCGGCTTTGCCATGCCGAAGAGGTGTCGGCCATTTCATCAAGTACATCACGTGTCTCTTGGTAAGAAAGTTTCATAAAGTTCCCTCCGGGTTCACAATGCATTGATTTGTGGTGTTGATGCCCCGATAAAATGTTTGTTGAATCATAACCTCGATCATGTCATTATTAGGGCATTCTTTCACCATTGTTCTATATCTTTCCCATATCTCGTGCAAAGGTTCCGTTGGCTCTTGCTTGAAAGCTAGAATTTCATCCCGAAGAGCTTCCATATGACTTGGAGAGAAGAATTTGGCAATAAATTTGTCCGCCAATTCATCCCATGTAGTAATAGAATGATTGGGGAGCCTTTCTAACCAATCCAATGCTTTACCCCGAAGAGAAAATGGAAAAAGCCTCAATCTCAACACATCCTCGGACACGTTTGTCTGCTTGCTACCCCATCATGCATCTACGAACCCATTCAAGTGCTTGTAGGCATTTTTATCGGAGGCACACGTGAAATACCCTCTTTGCTTGAGCAAGGTCAGCATAACATTTGTGATTTGAAAGTTCCCCGCCCGGATTCAGGGAGGAACAATAGCACTGGCGTATCCTTGATTTGGTAAAACTCTGGGAGCCACTCTCGGTGGTGCCGTAGGGGGGGTCTGGAATGTTGTTGTTCTAATTTGCATTTACATTAACATGTCGGCCTCTCCGTGGAACTTGAGGTAAGACCTCATCTGGTTCTAGATCCTCTACCTCCTCCCCCGCTATCACATTGCCGAGAGGGTCATTTGCATTAAGAGCCATTGCACCTGATTGATCGACACAAATAAAATTAGTAAACAAGAAGGAAAGAGAAGCAAAACACAAAACTAACTAAACAGATAGTCAACACCGTAAGCTCCCCGGCAATGGCGCAAAAAAGTTGGTCGCTGCCGACTTGACACTACACTATGGTAGGAAGAGCAGATCGCAATAGCTTTTACCCGAATAGAGGTCCGGGATCGAATTTCCACAGGGAGCTAGTAGTGGAGTTGTATTTTTTGTCTAGCCTAGAGTTGCGGTTGTGCTTCTAATGTCACTTCAAGCATATTTTGAGTTTTTGTATTTATAACTACTATTATAAAACTACGGATTAAAGCTAGATTATGCTAGGAGAATATTACTAAGTTGTAATTATTGGGAAGGAAGAGCACTAGGGTCGTGGCATTACCTTGGTGGCTAATTGACGGGTAGATATTACTTAGGTTCGATTGACTTATTTGGGGCTTATGCTATAACCGTTGCACAATTTTACCCACTCTCACACCTCTCGGTAGAGAGAGTGATTTTGCCCAATTGACTCTCTCGAGACCAATTGGGTTGGCAAATTAGACCAAGCAACTAGGGTTCAAGTAGGGTGATTACTCTCTCGAGATTTAACCCGTTAATTGGGACTATCATTTCTCATGAGTCCATCCCAATTCCTTGTTGGGTCAAATTTGAGGTCATAGACTCTCTTTCTCAAGAAGAGTTAAACCCACAAAGCTTGAATCAGTGTTTGCAACCACCAATTCTAAATTAAATCATAAAATCAACCCAAATAACAAACACCCATAGTCAATCTAACCCTAGATGGCAACACCCATCAATTACCCACACTAGGGTTGAGCCACAACCCTAACTAATGGGTTTAGCTACACATAACTAAAGAAGAAACTGAAGAAATAGATGAAGAACTACACATATTAATTAATTACTAAGAAGAAACTACAATAATCTATTGTTAATGGGAAGCAAATATGCCAAAAATGGCTACAACACCAAGCGCAGTTGTTCTTCTATTCTCAGATCTGACCGTTCCCTTAAAAAAATAGTAAAATATTTTATTTATACTAGGCTGGAAAAACTGGATAAAAATACCCCTGTGGGGTCAGTGCGGGCCGCACAAAATGGATCGCGGCCACACTGGCTCTTGGGCTTCAGTTGTTTGATGACTTGAACTGGGGGATGCGGACTGCGTGGGAGTGTACCGCGGCCGCGAAGGTTACTGGCGCGGTCCACGTAGACGTGACCACGGACCGCGTGAGGACAAATGCCCTTTGCTGAACCCTATGAACGCGAACCGCACAGAGCAGGAGTGCGGCCGCGAAGCTTCTCCGCAGGCCGCGTGAATCCTACCGCGGCCGCGTGACTTTAAGCTTGAAAATGTCCAGTCTCTGAACCTCCTAGTGCGGCCGCGGTCATTGTTACGCGGTCCGCACTAGGCCCCTTTTTCTTCACTTCTCTTGGTCTTTGATACTTGAGCAGGTTTCACTCCTTTTTGAGCCGATCTTTGACATTTCGTCACTTTGTCAATCAACCCTGCAATCAAGCACAACTTGTGAGCATTTTGGGACTGTTTTTGTATCAATTTATACTCAAAGCATAGGCAAGTAGGGACATAAACACTTTAAAATCCTAACTTATCACATTCCTCAGGAAAAAAATACCACAAGATGCTGAAGGATAACCAAGTTTTATCACAGAGCATGCGAGTAAGTATCGGCTTAACTATATGTATTTACATTGTATGGTTAATATATTTTACTCTGTATTTTTTTCTTGTTGTTTTGACAATTAGGTAAATTGTTATTTCAATCTAGCAACAATATCCTTGTATAAATATTGAAAGCAGGCAGTATTTATTGTATTTTTCTTTTTATCTTTATTTTTGTATGTTAAATGTATGTTTATTGTATAACTAGGTGTACTGATTACATCTTATTCATTAAACGTGTGCTTTTGTTAATCTTTATAGGTGCGGAGTTCAACAGAGTATGTGCATACCGTCACAGATGGTTGTAAGAGATTCATAGTTTGCCTACGGAAAAGGAATTGCACCTGTGGACGTTTTCAGTTGGATGAACTGCCATGTGGACATGCATTGGCTGTTTTGCGATCAAGAAACCTAAGGAGTGACGAATATTGCTCGGCCTACTATACAAGGGCAAACCTTCTTAAGATATATGAAATTCCGGTGGACCCTCTACCAGATGAAAGCGAATGGAATATTCCTTTTGACATTGCGGAGGAGGAGGTATTACCTCGTACTGGCAAAAGGGCTCCGGGAAGGCCTCATAAACCAAGATACAAAACTTTTAACGAAGTGAGAGCTAAAAAGTATAAGGTGTTGTGCAGCAATTGTGGAAGGTTAGGACACAATAAGAAGACATGTCGCAATGTTCCAAAGAGAAAATAGAATAGTTAATTCTTCCAATAAAGTACTTTTTATGTGATGCAGTTTACTGTAAGAAGTTTATATGTTGAAGTTTTTATATATTAATTAAATTTTTAATTGTTGGTATATCATTTTTTATATTTTTTTGTGACTATAAATATGTGAAATAAATGTCTATAATTTGTATTTCCTTATGTATCAATAGAGTAGAGTTTAAAGATGAAAAAGAATTATAAAATCTTGTCAAAATTGTATAGGAATGCTATTATCATTCTAATGTAATGTAATTGAGGGGTAATAGTATTGTAATTGTAGAACATTTGTAGCATAAATGTTTTGGAGGTCACGCAGATGTGGAATACAGACAGTATCAAATTATCAATAATTTTGTATAACTTTTGGTGTATATAGTTTGATTAATATGTGTATAAATATAGTAAATGGACCATGTGTAAAAAAAATTGTATCTGATAAACTTGTTAATACGTAATAATATTATACATAAATATCTTATAATTGTATGGTAACTGTATGGGGACTGTATCAAACAGAATTTTACAAGTATCTTGTCACGTCCTTAGTTGTTAACTAAGTACACGTGCAGCACTTGACAACTCGCTCACGATCTTGCACAACTTTCTTACGTTCTTGCTATGCCAAGTCAGTCTTACTACCTTTAAGATCGCTAAGAGAATAGAAGAAAGAACACAAGAGAATTGTTCAAGGAAGCTTTGTATTAGAGAGAACTTGAATTGTTTGCTTGATGAATTACAAACGAATGACCCCCTTTATATACTAGTCTCGTAGGGGCTAGTGTGTAAATATTAATTATTACACAAGTCCTTGATATTTATAAGATAAGAGCTTTTTCTAGAATTCTCTACAAGCCTAGAAGATTCCAAGGACTTTCCTAGCAAATCCATAAGGATCTAGGTTCTTCCTAAGGAAATGTCCATACCTCTCTAGAATCTTCTCACAAATGTTAGCCTTCTTCTTATGTAAGCTTCCACATGGCATTAATATATGCCAAATGGCACCTATGTGGCATGATGACATGGCGGGTCATCACAATCTGCCAAGAAAATTAAAGACAAATGGGAAAGAATAATAACAACTCAGTCAAAATGATTCATGTGCATTCTGCATTCATCATTGAAAACCTATATTAACTGGATGGCTCTACAATACCAGTGTATATTAAATGTATTAAACCAATACCACGAGTAATTAAGATTAAATCGATAAAACTATAACGTTTCGCATATATAAATGGTATAATATGTGTATAGATATAGTAGTAAAAAAATAGGAAAGGTGTATAGGAATTGTATAGTAACTGTATGGGAACTGTATGAGGACTGTATCAAATAGAATCAAAATGATCCATGTGCATTCTGCATTCATCATTGAAAACTTGTATTAACTGGATAGTTCTACTATACCAGTGTATATTAAATGTATTAAACCAGTACAATGGGTAATTAAGATTAAAACGCTTAAACTGTAACGTAAGAATCATTATAAAGACATCAAGTACGTAGCATCCAAACTATGGTGTAACGATCCCGCCGGCCGTTTCGGATATTTACACTCCTTTCAACTATTTTAAGTCTTAAATATCCTCCTATGATGTATTATGACTTGTGTGAATTGTCAGTTTTGATTTTCAGTTATTTCGGAGTTAGTTTGAAAGAATGAAATTTAAAGTTCAAAGCATAAGTTTAAAGAGTTGACCGGAGTTTGATTTTTATGCAAACGAATTCGAAATGGAATTTTAATGGTTTCAATGGCTCTATATGATGATTTTGGACTTAAGAGTGTGTTCGGATATTTATTTCGAAGAACGTAGAATAAATTAAAGCATTTTGGCAAAAGTTGGAAAAAAATAAAATTCGGAAGTTTGACTGAGAGTTGACTTTTCGATATCGGGATCAAAATTTAATTCCAAAAATCAGAATAGCTTCGTTATGTCATTTATGACTTGTGTGCGAAATTTGATGCCATTCCGGATTGATTTGATAGGTTTTGGCATCAAATGTAGAAGTTGGAATTTGTTAGTTCCTGTGAAGCTTGAATTTGGAGTGTGATCTATGTTTTATTGGGTTTTGATGTGATTTGAGACATCAACTAAGTTTGTATGATATTTTAGGACTTGTTGATATAATTGGTTGAGGTCCCGAGGGCCTCGGGTGAATTCGGATGGGTAACGGAGTTGGATTTGGGCATTCAAGAACGTTTCAATGCATTTCTTCAAGAATAAGTAGTATCACATTAATCAAATGAGCTGCAAATTCTGTTTTGACTGAAGCATTAGATCCGTATCGAAATTTCGCAGCCATAGAAAAAAGAATCGTCGAATTCGGACATCATATGAGAGAGTTATGCCCATTTTCGTGTCGGAGAAAAATAATTTCCCATCGCCAGCGCCCAGGGTAGCGTTGGGCGCTATCCCTGGCGCCGGGATTTTTTTATCTACTGGAACCAGCGCCAAAGTCAACGCCTGGTGCCACTTGTGGTGCCCGAATGGTAAAATGCTATAAAATAGGGGTTTCGGCCATTTTTACATATTTGGAGATATGGAGCTCGGTTTGGGCGATTTTCAGAGGCAAACTTCACCACAAAACTTGGGGTAAGTGTTCTTAACTCCCTTGTAATTATATTCCATGAATTAATCTTCATTTTTGGGGTTAGATTATTGATATTTCAAGAAAAATAGAGGAAATTTCTAAAATTCCATAAAAAGAATTTTCAAGATTGAACATCGATTCGGAGTCGGATTTGAGTAAAATTATTATGGTTGGACTTGTAATCGAATGTGTTATCGGATTTTGTAAGTTTCGTCAAATTTTAAGACGTGGACCCCACTATCAAATTTTTAAGCGGAGTTGGAAATTTTCATAAATTGTTAAATTGTAAGAATTGGAGTATATTTTGATTAATTTGCAAGTTGTTTGACTAGTTTTGAATCGTTTGTCTTGGAATTGAGGAGATTGGAAGGCATTCAAAGGTTGATACACACATAATGGAATTTCCGGAGTATTGTTAGCTTACTCGGCGTTGGAGTCGGCTTACTCAAGATAAGTAACTCTTTTAAACTTAGTGCTGAGGGTATGAAACCCCGAATTATGTGTTATGTGATTGATGTTGAGGTGACGGGCGTATGGGCTGCACCTTATGAATGGTGACTCTGTTGTTTCCAGGACACTATCTAGTGGTCCTACCTTCTTGATATCTATGTTTTCACCATGTGATAAGTAAATTGAGTTGTACATCATGCTAGATATCATGTCTAAACTTTATGCCGATATTGTTTGGACCCATATTGGTCGTTTCTTGCTGTCATCTCATTGAATTCATTGATATACCATACTCAGTCATATTCATGCATTCATATCATATCTCAGTCTCAGTTATTATTTATTGACACATCATATCATTGTTGTCGGGCTAGTTTCATGACATTGTGAGCCCGTGAGTGAGACTGGAGAGATTGATGACTGAATGAGGCCGAGGGCCGGTTTGTGAGATATTAATACTATAGCACGTGAGTTGTCTGTGCAGATACTGATATTGATACTATAGCACGTGAGTTGTCTGTGCAGATACTGATATTGATACTATAGCACGTGAGTTGTCCGTGCAGCACGTGAGTTGTCCGTGCAGATATTGATATTGATACTTTAGCACGTGAGTTGTCCATGCATCACGTGAGTTGTCCGTGCAGATTTTAGCGCTTGGGCTGTAGGAGCCCCTCTGGAGTCTGCACCCCCCCAGTGAGCGCAGTCGACTATAAATAAATGGATCAGGTTGCACGCCACAATGAGTATAGAATAGTGCTGAGTGATTGAGAATGCTGAGTATTGAGCATGGTAAAAGATAATGCGAGGAAATAAGATTGAGTACTCTGAGAGTGTGAGTACATGAGTTCATTACTGACAGGCATTGCATTTTGGCATGTGTACTTGAGATATATGCTTAGAGTTGCATTTCTTTTTGCTGCCTGGTTTTGATGACATTCATGATTTGCCTGTATCTTGACATGTAGGCATAGAGATGTACTTTCCTCATGCTATTTGAAAACCAAATGTTTACTTGTTGAAAGGTTCTATGGAAAAATTCACAAAATTCAGACTTAATTATATTTTGGTAATTTCAGTGAAAAGAATTGAGTTTTACTGTTATACTTGAAAAGAAAAGGTTTATTTTTTCTTGAACTGTGAACGAGCTGAGCATTTTATTATTAAATTATTCTTTGTGCTGCTTAATTATATTGTTATGAGATGTTACTGGATATTGGTGTGGACTCTGACCTTGGTACAAGCTCGTCACTACTTTCAACCTAAGTTTAGGTTTGTTATTTTTTGAGTACATGGGGTCGGTTGTACTCATACTATACTTCCTGCACATTGCGTGCAGATTTCGGATGTCGACCTTGCTGTGTTCGATGGGAGCTGACTTGGAAAAATGTACCGGCGTCCCTGTTGTAGCTGCCTCTTATTCATGGTAGTCTTAGATTCATTAAACTCTGTTTATGTAACTTTTCAAATAGAAGATGCATTTGTTTCATATCAGTTTTGTAAATTTTACTCTTAGAAGCTCATGATTTGTACTAGCAGTCCTTGGGAGGTGTATAAGAGATCATTTATTTTTCCTCAGTATGTTCTATTTGTATTGGACTTGATGAGTTGGCTTACCTAGCGGGATGGGTTAGGCGCCATCACGACTAGTTGGATTTTGGGTCGTGACATATGGTGCACAGTCCAAGTTCCCAAAAGACATCTTCTCCAAAATTCTTATAACTTATTTGTTGCGAACTCTGAATCTTTGTTTCTTTGGTGCACCACCTCTCTTCCTTGCAATTCTGCCTGTGACCTCACTATCACTAATAGTCCCTGAATCTCGTTTTCTTCTTGCGTAATCCCAAAGGAGAGCTCCAAAACATCTACGGTGCCCATCTACATCAAAGTTGACATTTGGAATTGAAAACTCCCCGATACTGATGTACGGTGCCTGTGCTCATC